CTGGTCGTCGTATCTTTCTCCCTACTATTTCGGTTATTAGAGTTTGTTTATTTCAGTTCAACAAATTTAAGGGCCTCCAGCGCGGTGGCCAGCCTCCTCAGCTCTTCCGGTCCGCCTCCTCGCTGCGGCGGGGAGGCGGGCGAGCTGGGGGCCCCCCGCTGGGCTGCATGGTGTTGGGGTGGTTGACGGAGCGCAGCAATAGCAGCAGAAGCAAATGCCTCTAATGCCTTCTTAGATCCCGATGGAAGAGTCACGTGTCTTCCGCATAGACTGAGGGTTTCTGCTGCTGCTGCTAGCAGCGCTAAAGACTCCTGAATCTGAGGAGCATGCCGAACAACAAGCCTGCTGAATATTGAAAGAAGCTCCTGCATCACAAGACGAAACTCCGCTGACGCTGTCACCCCAGAGGGATTCGGCGCAGCTGCCTTCTCCCCTTCTGTTGCTGCTGCACCTGCTCCTGTTGAGCAGCAGTGTGCATGCAGCAGAGTTGCGAAATCGCTCGAAGCCAGCAGCAACAGCTGTATTTGTGCTGCTGTCCTCGGCGAGTCCACCGGAAGAGCTGAAATGTTTTGGGCGAGCCGCAGCAAAGCCGCAGCCACAGCGAAGAGGAAAGCGTCCGCCTCGTGCAGCAGACGGAACACACTGCTGTTGCTGCTGCTGCTCTTGTTCGGGTCAATCAGCTGCTGCTCAGCCATTGCTTCTTGCAGACTTGTTGAGCCGCGGTCACCTGCTGCAGAGACAAGAGGATCGCTAAGACGATCCCGATCCCCGGATTCGGAGTCAGACGCCTCTGGGCCCGCGCGAGCAACAGCAGCCAGCGGCCGCAGCAAATGAAAAAGCTGCAGCATCCCGCATTCTGCTGCTAATAGCGGGGCATGCACAATTCCAGACCTGCAGCATACAACAGCAAATGCACGCAGCGAAAGCAAGAGTGACGCTGAAGCAATACGCTGAGCCTCTTCAATAGTAGCTACAACAGCAGCAAGTGCCACAGCACCAATAGCACCAGCACCCACAGCAGCAGCAGAGCCCGATAGACTCTGTAACGGTAGTAGAGTTATGCTAATGATACTGTGAGGCACTGAATGTGACCCACAGAATATGGCGGCGCGTTTCAGGTCTGCACGAGGAGAAGAAATTGAGGAGCAGCCCCAGAGAAACTCCAGCAGTCGACACCCAACTCAGAGGTGGCCTTTCATGCCGCAGCAAAGAAATAGGAGATTTAAATGCTGCTGGGGCCTTCAAACAATACGACTTCAGCCTAGCTAGAACAGCCTGAGGGCGATAGTCCATCCCAACCGCCTCTCCACTTGCAGCGGTGCTGCTGCTTGCTCCGCTTGCAGCAGCAGCAGCAAAGGGTCGCTGTTGCNCGTTGAAGGAGAGAGTCATTTGCTGCTCGGGTTGCCGCCTCACAATATAACGCCAGCTTATCAGCAAACCCACCAGGCCGCCTGATGCTGCGGGCTGCAAGTCGTGCTGCTTGCTGCAGAGTTAACGGCTTCGCGTGCCTCTCACTGCTCCCGAAGGGCGACAGCTGTGTTTCAGCTGCAGCAGCAGCAGCAGATAGTGAAGCATCAGCATCCATGGTTTCGGCGGCACCCAGGCCGCCTTCAGCACGGTTTAAAGACCATAAGAAAGATCCAACCTCCCGCATCCCTGCACGACGAATCTCAGCTGGCCTGGCTGCAACTGGAGCCCCAGAAGTCGCCGTCACGGAAGCAGCGTCAGCAGCAGTAGCAGTCCTCGACTGCCCGGTACTCCTAGTGAGAGTTGCGGAGCTGAAAAATGAATCTCCGTCGCGCTGTGTCTTGAGGGGTTCGCCACGGGGCCCCCTAGGGCCCCCCCCGGGGGCCCCCGTACGGTACCAAGCGTTGACAGCCTCCGGGAACGAGACGCTTTCTTCAATCGCAGCGACCACCCGCAGTAGGAGCTGTGCTGCTGCTGCTTCTGCTTCGGTGCCGAGTTGGTGCTGGTGCTGCTGAGTTGCAACACCAGCAGCACCGACTGAGCGCCCTGTACCCGTAGCTGTTTCTGCTGCTTCTCCTGCTGCTGCTGTTGCTGTTGAAGCTGCATCTGATACAATTCGGAACGCTTCGTTCCCTCTGCTGCGGCGGAGACGGAGGATATTATACCCGAGGAGGAACAGCAACGGTGANGGAACGCTTCGTTCCCTCTGCTGCGGCGGAGACGGAGGATATTATACCCGAGGAGGAACAGCAACGGTGAAGGCCACGTTGTTAAGGCCTGGCCCCTCTTTTCGAGCAGTTCTGTTAGGTAGAACTGCAGAAAAAACAAAAAGACAGACAAAAAGCAAAACGCTCAAAGACTGAATCGCAAAAGCAGGGGCAATGTGCTGATGTTTGCTGTTGAGGCAGCAACGACACGCAGCACAGGCAAGCTGAGAGAAAATATCTGAAAAGAAATACAAAAGAAGACGTACCTCGATAGCAGAGGGATCAACATAACGAGCTGGAGATACACCCGAAACTGAAGAAAATGTGTGAAAGCCTCTCAAACTGCGGGTCAATGCGGTGAAATTCGGTGCATCCTGCATCCGCTGGGTTTGTTGGTGGTGCAGCGCGTGAGTTCCGTCGTGTTCTGCTGCCGCTGCTGCTGCTGCTGCAGCGCGGATGGTGTGTACCTGCTGCTGCGTGTGCACAGGCGCAGCGCCTTCATCTTGCTGCGCCTGGATCCAGAAGGGGATGAGAGAGAATGTAAGAAGAGCGACGTCTTCGGGGCGCTGCCTCCTGAAGCCACTGACAGCAGCCCACAGCGTTGCAGCTGAGGCCAGACCGCACAAGGCATCCTGGAGTTGTATTATGTCTCCTTTTGATCGGGGGGAGGAGGCAAAGGATGAGACACGAGGAGAGGGGCCCCCCTTGAATGGGCGCCATTTCCCATGCGTGTTCTTCTGCAGCAGCGNGATGAGACACGAGGAGAGGGGCCCCCCTTGAATGGGCGCCATTTCCCATGCGTGTTCTTCTGCAGCAGCGCCAGCGTCTTCCCCACGAGTTCAGCTGTATGTCGCTCATCAGCTTCCTCTTCTGCTGCTGCTCCTGCTGCTGCTGTTTTGAATGCAGCTTCCTCAGGTCCCCGGCTGCCTCTGCTGCCACAGGCAGCAGCAGAACGTGCATCCAGCAAACGCTGCAGCGTGAGAGTTTCCAGGCGGTGGCGGAGGATCTTCAGGCCCAACACCACGAGGGGCCACTCGCCCACCCAGCTGCATGCAAACAACAGGCGCTGCAGTAGTTTTAGGGGAAGCTGCTGCGCGCACGCCGTCGTTGCTGCTGCTGCTGTTCCTGCTGCTCGGGTGTTGCTCATCTGCTGCTGGTGCGTCGGCTGGTGCAAGGTGAAGGAGTAGATTTGGGCTTCAGAGGGGAGACAGGCAGCAACGCCTGAGAACAAAGACGGATCTGTAGCCCCAAGGGTGACAAGCGAACAGAAGAAACGAATTCTCCTCTCCGCCTCCTTCAGGCCCCGCGGCGGCTCGTGTGTGTGCAGAAGGGGCCTCAACTGCGACGAAGAAGCTTCACCAGAGGGCCTTGCTGTTGCTGCTCCTGCTGCTGGTGATGCTTCTGCGTCTGGCGGGGGTGACGTCTGCTGCATCTGTTGAGCATGCAGGAATCGATCGAACGCCACTGCAGCAGCAGCAAAATGCCCCATGCCTCTCAGTGGTCTGAGGGAGTGCAGCCGCGCCAGAGACGCTGCGAGTTGCTGCACTTCCAGGTGCAGCATGCGGCCGACGGCAGCCCAGGCAGCACTTTGTGTCTCCTCTGCTTCTTCAAGTCCCTGCTGCTTTTGCTGCTGTTCTTGCTGTGATATGAAGAGTTCAATCAAACGCGTCCCCTGAGCTGCTGCAGNTGCTGCTTTTGCTGCTGTTCTTGCTGTGATATGAAGAGTTCAATCAAACGCGTCCCCTGAGCTGCTGCAGCTTCTGCTAGCTGCTGCACTGAAGGCAGCCAAATGCCCCCACTCAGCCGCATCAGCATGTAATACACAGGCAACCAGGAGGACCTCGCCGTCACCAGTTCACGCAGCTCTTCAGCAGGTGTCTGCTGCGGTGGAAACGCCCGGAGCTTCGAAGGCTGCTGCTGCTGCTGCTGCTGCTGCTGCTGCTGCTGCTGCGAGTGCGGGCGGATCGGGGCGTCGACAACTCCAGGCATTTGCTGAGGCGGTGCAACACCGCCCTGCAGCCCGCGAGTTGCTGCTGTTGCAGATGCTTCTATGAGGCTGGCGGTGGCCAGCAAGATATCCCAAGGCACAACGGGGGCCCCGTTGCGGTGCAACGCCACAGCAAGTGCAGCAGCAGCAGATCCCCCAGGGGCCCCTGCTTCCCGGGCTTCAAGCAGTATGTCCTCCTCCTGTAGAGACTCCTGTCCACTGCTAGGGGCCCGAAGCAGCAGCAGCGGCAGCAGCGTGCTGCTGGGGCCAGACAGCCTCCTGCTCCAGTCTGTGAGTGCACTGCAGGCTGTTGAAACCCGCTGTACTGTTTCCCCTGGCGGCAGTGTTGGGGCCTCTGCTGCAGCACGCTGCAGCACCCCCTGCAGCAGCAGCAGCAACGCCTCCGCCAGCGCCTTTACCTCTTCAGGCACATCTGGGGACGGTGGGGTCGCCACACCTATCGAACGGCCCAGGACAAAGAGAGGAGCTATAAGACGCGTAATAGCAGACGGCGGCAATCTGCATGAACAACAGAAAACCAAAGAAACACAGAAAAACAAAGAATGCATGCATGCATCGCCTGCATGCGGTGCATGCAACGACAGCCCCAAGTCGATTGCAGGGATATATGCGGAGCTGCTGGTCACCCAGTGAGCTTGAGGGGCAGTGGGCAGAGGGACAGCAACCCGCAGGAATGAGGCAAAGGCAGAGAGGAGGGTTTTGTTAGATATCAGACCCTAAACCCTAAACCATAAACCCTTAACCTTAACGGAGATATTCTGCAGGTTTTACCTAGGGAGAAGCTGTCGGAGGAAAACGAAGAAGGCAGTGAGGGTCTCCGCAGGAAGGGCAAACGGCGGGTGTGCATTAGTAGAGGGGTTGCACAGCAGCACCCAGTCTGACTGCTGCTGCTGCTGCTGCTGCTGTTGCTGCTGTTTCTGCTGCTGCACTTTGTTCAGAGTTAAAACCCAGTGGGGAGACACTGCGCATGCCGCGAGAAACAAGACGCCATCTACTGCTGCTCCGGGACTCGGTAGGACCCGCTGCTGCTGCTGTCGCTGCTGCTGCTGTCGTTGCTGCTGTAGTCGCTGCTGCTGCAGTCGCTGCTGCTGCGCAAACGGAGGAGACATGGAAGCTAACAAGAAGGAGAAGAAGGACTGAACCTCGGCCCTCGAAGGGCTGGCCCCAGGCCCAGTGGGGTGCTGCTGCCTGAGCAATGAAACGACAGCAGCAGCAGCAGCAGCAGCAGCAGCAGCAAATACGGCGTTTGTCTCCCTTACATGAGCTATATAGACACCCCAGCATGCATGCAGACGGCGCGTATACAAGTCTACCGGCCCCTCCACCCAGTATTACAAATGTAGGTACATATATAAGCACGTATAGACGTATTGCATATATATATATATATATATATATATATATATATATATATATATATATATATATATATATATATATATGTTGAAACTTCTGAACGACATTCCCCATTACTGAGGCGTTAGGAACCAGGAACTTGAGGTGTATGTACACTTGTAGCCTGTGTATATACACCTAACTTCTTCTTAGGCAGTCAAGAAGGGCTGAGATATTCGAACCACAGTGCACACTGGCGCCAGGGCGCCAGATATATAAAGCGTATAGTCGCATGCCGAATAAAGGGTTTAGGGTTTAGGGTTTAGGGTCTAGGGTTTGAGGCACACCCGCTGGGGTCTCTGTCCAATGTACGCTCGAGGCCGTCTGCTGCAGCAGGAGGGGCAGACAGGCGCTGTTCGGTTCCTTCCTCGGGTGTATCTACATCTCCTCCTCCGTCTGTATTGGGAAGGCACCCAGTTCTAGTTAAATTCTGCTGCTGCTGCAGCTGCTGCTGCAGTTGCCGCACCAGCTTCTGCTGCTGTTGCTGCAGCTGCAGCAGAGGAGAAGCACGGCGTCCATGGGGTAGCCCCTGGGGGCTGCTGCCTTGTGTACAGACAGTCGGCCATCGGGGGCCCCCACAGCTGCGAGGGGAAGGGAGGGCTGAGCTGCAGAGGGGCCCCTTCAAACAAAATGCATCAGCATGATTTGCTGCTATCTCCAGCACCAAAAGGAGAAGCAAAACGACGCAGAGATAAACAGGGGGGGGCTTAGATATTCGGAGGCGCCATCCCGCAATATTACTCTTCTTAGCAAATA